CAAAAGCCGAGAAATATTATAAAGGTTACGAGTTAAGGCAAGATAACACTTCTTACATATAAAGCATGCGTACATAAAGAAACTGAAATGCGGCAAAAATCACTCAAATAGTGAATACGTAAATTGTCATATATCAGTTGCTTTCTCTTCTCTTTTTGTTCTTTTCTTCTACTTACTTTGACTCAATCAGCCATCTTTCTTTTCTTTGTGCTCACTTAGGCATCTAGATAAAAAACATGTGCTACAAGCTACAACTATTGTTTTAGATATGACATTTCGTTTACCTAATGGCTTGTGCATTCCTTCGATTGCATTTGGCACCGGTACATCGTGGTTTCGAGGGAATAACGATGATCCAGTTAATCGTAAATTAATCAATTGCATAAAAAACGCTATAGAACTTGGCTATCGTCATATAGACACAGCTGAAATGTATGGGACAGAACGCGAAGTTGGGATAGCAATTAAAGAATCTATATGCAATCGTGATGAAATATATATAACAACAAAAATATATTGTGGTCTTGAGAATCCTGAGCAAGCATTGAACAACTCACTGAATTATTTACAAACTGACTACATTGATTTATATTTGATACATTCACCTTATTTCGATAAAACAAATGATGATCATGCAATTCCTCATATACCTGAGAATATCAATTTAGAACATGTATGGAAACAAATGGAAACATTTGTTGAAAATGGTCGAGTAAAATCAATTGGTCTAGCTAATTTTCAAATAAAACATATAAAACAAATCTTATCAGTTGCACGTATAAAACCCGTGGTTAATCAGATTGAATATCATCCACAACTACAACAGCGTGAACTTATTCAATATTTAAACGCAAATAAAATTCTAATCGAAGCTTACACACCTCTGGCTTGCTTAGTGCATAATCCAGGCACATCGTTAGATAGAATTATTGAACAATTAGCTCAAAAATATCAAAAGAAACAAGTTCAAGTGTTACTCAAATGGTCTTTGCAAAAACAACATGTGGTGGTGACAACATCATCAGATTATACTAGACAAAAAGAGTCAATTGATATCAGTGATTTTCGATTATCCAATGATGATATGGACAAAATTGATGAAGAAGGATCAAAATATTATTTCCGAAAACATTGGAAAAAGCAAATTGAAAACGACTAGAATATAAAACGGTTTTGAAGAGGTTTTTTGAAATTGTCTACGAAACATATACTTGTAATTCATCAGATATATTTATTATTCAACACAACTGGCAGTGTAACAATAATACAGGAATTGATTGTTGAATTATCAGCTCATTTACGCGGTATACCTGACGAAACATATGAATTTCAATCTATCAATTGATGTTTTTGACACAAAATTTCTCGTAGCACTAAAATCAATAATAAATCAAACATATTATTTACTAATACTACCACTAATTGTTGTCAAGCCCGTTACACAACCTACGGAATTAATCTACTGGAGTAAATGAATTGAATAAATTTCCCACAAACCAGCTGTTATTTGGCCCCCTTCTGCTTAATCTAAACAGTTTTGCGAATTTTAGTATTTGTGAGTTTCTGAACGAAGAATGGGGAAACAATCCGTAGTCTTTGTTTATAACAGTATTTATTTCTGTTATATCGACTTTTATACTTTATAATATTTCTCGATTTTTA